TTTGTCGCAGAGCTTTTTCTGTGTTTGATGGCTGTGATTTTATTGTCGTAATATATTTGTTAATTCAGACCATGTTTTATGTATATTGTTGTTATCTTTGTAATCCACCCAGAAAGTCATTTTGGCTAATGGGCAGGACAGAAATAAAAACAAAACAGAACACAACTCAACACAAAAAACAAAACAACACACCCACCCTCTGATCTGCAGGTAGCTAAATGCCATAGGGACCAATAGCCATGGTCAGAATTTGTCCAACTTAGGTGGACAAATTTAATCCCATCACTTCATCTGCTTCTCCATATCAAATCTCTCTTTACCGCTGTTAAGTCCAAAAGGGTCGCTCTGTTGACTTTATCAAGCCAAGCTGTTTAGGCACTTCCTTCTCCCTGCCAGAACTTCTGCCAGCCACGATTTTCTTTGCCTCAAGAGATTTTCAAGTGGAAACCTAACCCCGTTCGGGCAGGCTGGGGCTTGTCCATAAACTCTTGATTTCCAGTAAGCCGCACCCTGGGACAGGACCTTCCTCCTGCCCTGTGTTCATGGAATGTGGAATGGTAGTAACGATACATCCATTGTAAGAGGACAAGGTTGTGTGTAATATTGACACAAAAAGTGTGAGCAAGATCTTTCTTGTTAATCACGTCATACCGCAAACCACCCGGACACTGTTCCCATCTTCTGGGGCCTTCCTCTGAGTCCCAACCCCACACGAGGCTTGGAGGGAAGCAACAAGAGGGAGGGGCTTTTTGTGGTCCCCCCACCCTTTGGAATGCTGTGGTTTGCTTGGTGCCAAATTTGCCATCTTTTCAGCTCTCGATCAAGGCAGTCTCTTTCCAGAGGCCTTTACAGATCTCCTGAGTTACTCAGGAGCCTGGTGGGCTATCTAGATTATCTTTCTTTGCTGAGTCGTTTGACTATTTCTAAGCTATTTTAATTAATTTTAACCTTGTTTTACGCAGTGCTTTTTGTGTAAGAAAAACGGTGCTGGAACTCATGTAATTATTTACCTTTCACACGTAGTCAATCACTGTACACACACTCACACACGTCAGTTGTGTAATGAAACATAACGGTCACAGCCTGCAGTAAGCACTCAGTGCGCGACCACACAACCAATCACAAGCTAAGCAGTGCCACCATCACAACCAGTGCGGATGAAGTGCGCACGCATCGGACTCGACACACAAGCAGCCCGCATGCACCGTTTTAATGATTTTGCCGCTGACCTGCTACACTCGACAGGGCGATTCAAATCCACGTGGACCAAACATCAAATTTTCAAAAGTTACTTTTAAAACTTGGAAAATCTGTCAAAAAAAGGTGCCAGAACTCCTTTCCCGTGCGTTCTATGACAAAAAAAAGCACTGGTTTTACGGTATTTGTATTGCACCTTATTGTTGTGGTTTATATATTGTTATGAACATCTCAGCAAGCTTCAATTATGGGGCAGTATAGAAATGAAATGAAGAGGTCTTCTTTTTGTGGCCTCTACGGCCACCCAGAGACTTGACAGAGACTATCCATCCCAGGCGTTTTCCATCTTTGCTATTGTCCAATTTTACCTGTTTTAATGTTTTTTTCTGAATTTATGTTTTTACTGCATTTTAATCCAAAAGTGTGCCACCTACTTTCATTACACTGTATATACAGTGGCACCTCGGCTCACGAACGCCTCAGCTCACGACCAGATCGGGTCGCAAACAAAACTTTCATTAAAATTTTGACTCATGTCGCGAACTCCGCATTGTGGGGAGATGGCTGTGATCGTGCTGTGTGTTGTGTGTGTGTGGGGGGGAGACGGCCGAGATCGTGCCCGTCTTTCCTGCATGAGCGCAACCGCAATCTTGGCCATCCCCCCTAGCACGATCTTGCCTGTCTGCCCCCCAGAACACCTGCATTCGCCTCTCCCCCCACTCAGCGTGACTGCGTTTGTGCCCACCTCTCCCCCACCCCCCAGCTCGCCGGGATGACGGGCACGTGCAGGGATGACGGGCGCGATCGCGGTCGTGCTGGGGGGGCGGGGAGAGGGCCACGATCTTTGTTGTTCTTTGTCACTTTGCTTTGATTTTTTCTGATTAAAAAAGTAGTTACAGAACAGATTAACCTCATTTACATTGACCCTTATGGGAGTTTGGCTTGGCTCATGACCAGTTTGGCTCACGACCAGAGTCCTGGGACAGATTAAGTTCCTGAGCCAAGGTACCACTGTATTTTCAGCTGATAAAGCTGGCGCTCCTGTTGATGTCCTGGTCAGTTCGTGGAACGGGGAGATGACCAGGGCAATCGACACGATCGCTCCTAAGCATCCTCTCCCACCTGGCAGAGCCCACTCAACACCATGGTGTACATCTGAGTTGCGGGCTATGAAGCAGGCCGGGAGACGATTAGAGCACAGTTGGAGGAAATCATGGGATGAATCTGCTCATTATCGGGCCTATGCTGTGGCGGTGAGGGCGGCGAAGAAGGAATTCCCCACAGTGCCATCTGGCAGAGCTTTTCCAACACTCTGGCCAGGAAAATGACTTGGTCACAGCGTCATCAGCCCGCTGTGATGACTTTGCCCTGCACTTTAAGGAAAATATCACTCAGATTCGCCACAATCTGGACTCCACAGTAGAGACGGTTCCAGTATGTTGAGGTGTCCAGAGTGCGTCTGGTCCGTCCTTCTTGGATGAGCTCCAGTGATTGCGGCCTCATGAGGTGGACCAGGTGCTTGGGAGGGATCGCCCCACCGCCTCTCTTCTTGCCCCTGCCCCTCATGGCTACTGAAAGAAGCCCGTCACGGGATTGGTCCCTGGGTCTGGGAGGGGATCAACGCCTTGCTGAGGGAGGGCCAAGTCCAAGCCCCCTTAAAGGAGGCGCTGAACCGGCCAATCCTGAAGAATTCGTCTCCGGACCCAGAGGTGGCTGCCAACGTTAGACTGGTGGCCAAAATTCCTTTTCCGGCAAGGTGCTAGAGCGGGAGGTGGCGGGACAACTCCAGGCCCTCGTGGATGGAACGGATCACCTGGACCCATTTCAGTCCGGCTTCGGACCTGGTTGCGGTACTGTATCTGGCTTGGTCGCCCTGTACGATGACCTGTGCAGGGAGAAGGACAGGGGGAGTGCATCCCTGTTGGTCCTCCTGGACCTCTCAGTGGCTTTCGATACCATCGACCATGGCATCCTTCTGGATAGGCCAGCAGGATTGGGAGTTGGAGGCACTGCTTTGCAGTGGTTCTGCTCCTATCTGACTGACCGATTCCAGATGGGGGACTATAGCCCTGCGCCATGGCAGCTGTGCCATGGGGTTCTTCAGGGCTCTATTTTGTTCCCCGTGCTCTTCAACATCTACATGAAACTGCTGGGAGAGGTCAGCAGGAGGTGTGGGCTGCGGAGCCACCCGTATGCTGATGACACCCAGCTCTACCTCTCGTTTACATCTGCTCCAGGTGAGGCGGTGGCTGCCCTGAACCGGGGCCTGGCCGAGGTGGTGGGCTGGATGAGGGCCCATAAACTGAACCTCAATCCAAGTAAGATGGAAGTCCTGTTGGTGGGCGGATCGTGGTTTCAGGTAAGTGATTTTGGCCTTGTCTCCAAAGGACGGGGTCTGCAGCTTGGGAGTGCTCCTCGACCTGGAGCTGTCACTGGAAATCCAGGTGGCAGCAGAGGCGAGGAGCACTTTCCTACAGCTCCGGCTGGTCCATCAGCTGTATTCTTACCTGGACAAAGACTGCCTAGCAACCGTGACACACGCTCTGGTAACCTCCGGGCTGGATTACTGTAACGGGCTCTACGTGGGGCTGCCCTTGAAAACAGTCCAGATACTTCAACTGGTGCAAAACAGAGCTGCCAGGGACTGGCCGTTATTCTCATATAACGCCAGTCCCCTTCCAGCTCCACTGGCTCCCAGTTGTAGTCCGAGCCCAATTCAAGGTGCTGGTTTTGACCTATAAAGCCCTGAACGGCTTGGGACCAGGATACCTGAAGGAACGTCTTATTCCATATGTGCTATCACGTCCCTTAAGATCAGCGAGGGAGGCCCTGCTCCGGGAACCCTCCCTGAAGTAGGTAAAAAGGACCTCTACTCGGAGAAGGGCCTTCTCTGCAGTGGCGCCCAGTTTGTGGAATGTGTTCCCTGGAGAGGTTCACCTGGTGCCAAGCCTATACTCTTTTTGGCGCCAGGTCAAAATCTTTTTATTTAACCATTATTTTAAAAATTAGTATTATAATGTCACAGTCATTTTACTTATTTTAATTGGCTATTTGTAAATTATTTATTGCTATAGATTGTTTTAGCGCATTTGGTTTTAATGATTGTAAGCCGTCCTGAGATACCATGCATAAGGGACGGCATATAAAAGCTTTAAATAAACACATACATACATACATACATACATTTAAGGGGAATAGAAGATGGAGAGAAACACAGAAACAGAGCGAGTCAGAAGGGGCCTCCCGGGCCATCTAGTCTGACCCCCGGCTCCAGCCGGCTCTGCTCATGACATGCCCACCATGTGCATGTCTAAGGAATACTGGAATGCACTAATAATTTTTAGAAAGAACTGAGTATAATGTGCTGACAACTCTCATCTACAGCCTAGCAACCATCAAGTTTGCCAAATATTGCAAATACATCGCAAATACATCATGATTGCTATCAACCTATGAAATGAAAAGTTTTCCACCCAATTTCTTTTGCTGCTTGTGTGAAAAGTGCAAGAGAGCAGAGGCTAATAGGCATGTGTACTAGTGCAAGCCACTGATGCACATCGTTGTTTAGTAAGCCAGGATTGCTGGCTTATTATGTGAAAATGCAGTCAGTGTATCTTTTCATAGTTAAGGTATGTTTGAATTTCTGTATTGGGTTGTACTGTGGACATTTTCATAGCCTCATGTGGAAACAGACAAAAATGGTCCCAGTGCTTTCCCCTGCATCTTGCAATTTCAGAGCAGAATTTTAAAAATAAACATTTTGAAAATATGCTGGAAAAACAAAACAGCCAGAACAACCAGACTCACAGTGGCTTAATTTTTCTTTTAATAAGACCACCCCTGAATATTTTTAGGGGTACATATATACACAGAAATATATATACACACATTGATAATTAGGTTAAAACAATTTCCTGGCCTTAGTGGTATAATTTGGGGTGGGGGAAAGATTAGGATTTCCTTCACTAGCCCAAGCAGCAGTCTTGGGTGTGCAAATAAAGGACAGCTGAGGCGGAGGCAGGAGAAGCTGCCCCTCTGTGCAAAACACGCTCGAGTGCAGCTGGGGGAAGCAGTGCTGAGTCCTTGGTGAACCCAGGCTGGGCCTCCAAGCCACCTCCGCTGCAGCATCCCCGCCTGTGACTCTTTTCGGTCCCTCTTTCATGGAGATGGAGCTCAGTTGACCACTCCAGAACACACGTCTTCGTTGGGGGGCCTCAGCTCCCCTGATCCCGTTCCTGCCAGCCCCGTGAGCGAAACCTCATCTGCGGGAGCAATGCAAGGGAGAGTTATTTATTTATTTAAAACTTTTCTATACCGTCCCATACTTAGACGTCTCGGGTCGGTTTACAACAAATTATTCCTAAAAATGATAATAAAAATAACGGTTGCCCAGCATCCAAGGTTAAAATATAAACCCGCTAACTAAAACAAATTAACGATTAAAATACTGGGAGAATGAAAAGTTTTTCGCCTGGTGCCAACGCTTCTTTCCTTTTGGAACCCTCTGGGGAGCGTGTTCCACAATCAGGGTGCCACCACAGAGAAGGCCCTCCTGGCAGACACCCTCCTGATTTCTTTCAAGGACAGCTCCCGGAGAAGGGCCTCTGACTCAGATCTCAAGGGATGGGGGGCACATAGGGGAGAAGGTTAGTTGGCCTTGACTCCCAAGCAATCTGTTGCCCAACAAGCCAGAACATCCACCCCCATCATTGCTTCCAGGGGGCCCCCTCCCACAGCCATCCTGCCACAGCCCCAAAGCTCCTGGAAATCAACAGGCATTTCCAAAAGCAGCAGCTGGAGCAGCTTTCAGAAACCTGCTGAGTGGTAACAGGAAGTAACAGTCAGGACATGTTCCTCGGTGTCATCCTCTCATCCCCCCACCACCCAATTTCTCCCACTCCTTGACCCAAGAAAATCCGACTTACGGAACCGGACACGAATGGGGCATATCATAATGCTGGCCAGAAAGAGAGTGGCCACGACTGCCATGCCTCCAGTGACCACCACCATCACCCAGTGGTAGAAAACCACGCAGCTGGTGCAGCAGAGCTGAGTCCTGTACAGAAGAGGGCAGGCGGGAGAGAAGAGAGGAAAGAACACAACACAACGTGAGCACTGAAGCACGGCCCCACCCAGTGGTAGACTGCTCCTGTATGCGGAGGCTCCATTTAGCTATCCTGGTTAAGAGGAATTCACAGATCAGGGGCATATGACCACAGCCTCTGGGGCTCAATGTGGCCCTCCGGGGGCTCCTGAGATAGGCGCACCCCCTTCCCCTGGCTCCAGCCCCTTTTGTGCAGCTGCCAATTGTTTGGCCTTTGCCTGCTTTGAAGCAAAATTCCCCCAGTTCAAAAGGCTGAAATGCCTCTTTGAGGACTTAAGCGACTGGCAGAACAAACTAACGACAGGCCAGCATTTTGGCCTCGCTCACAACAGAGCTGCCATGCTGGAAGTTTCTCCGAACAGAATTTGGCTCTTGGCTGTGGGGGTTTAACCTGGCTGTGCAGAGTTAAGTGTCTTGCTTTGTTTTGAGAACAAAATGTTTGGATAGGTCACAAGAAAGGCAAAAGATGCCTTTTGAAGAATTTTTTTTTTTCAGAAGACCAAACAAGGGTCAAGGCGGGGAGATATTAACCTGGTGGCATCCTTATAATCTTGATCTCACCTAGATTATGAGATGCCTAAAAAGAATAGGAAATCCTAAAACCTTTCAAGCCGTCCATGAACAGACAGGAGTTAGGAAAAAGAAAAAAAAAAGGGTGTATGTAAGGCAAACATCGAGAATTCATCTGTGGATGATGCTAGAACTTACGGGCAAGGGTGTAAATTCTGGATAACCATCACAGCCACTCCATTGGCAAGTTTGTCTGTGAAGCTCATCGCCCCATAAACAAAGGCACCGCTTTGCTGTTAAGAGAAAACAAGACACGGTCTGGCTCCACACGAAACACCTTACAAGGACGGCAGGACTCCTACAAAACATGTCCGACAACAAAGAAGCAGGCCCGCCTCCTCTGTTTCTCCTTCCCTTCCTGGGGCCAGTCATCTGCCATCTTCACCCCTCCAAAAGTCTGTATGATGTTCACACCCAAAGTTTGTGCACAGGTAACTTCAGCAATACCTATCATTCTCTCTCCACGTTCTCCTCCTGTCCCTGCCTTACTCGTCTCCATCTTTCTACACATCTTTCTAAGCTGTGTTTGGAAAAAAAGAAAGCGCAATAAAACTAGTTGTTCTTTCATCGATTCATTTTTTGATTGCTGCTTTAACACTTTTTAGAAAGCCACTTTCTGCAACAGTGAGATATAATTTAGAAGTATCACACAAGACATCAAAATGAAATTTAACCCCCTGTACTGCATCCCAGTAGAAATAAAGAACTTCCAGAAGTAACACCTAACTAAAAATGGAACATGGGGGAGCCTGCCAAACAGGGAAGTTGGTGTCCTTCCCTTCTTTTCTTCCCACTCTAATTAGAACTTGCGAAGCCTCGTCTGAAGGCTAAATCACTTCTCTCAACTATGTTGATACCACCATTTTAAAGAGACCCTTGGAAGCAAAGTATCCATGATCATTTCCTAAATGATTTGTCTAGATTTTCATCTATCCATCCATCCTGCCTGCCTTTCCTTTTTTAAAGAACTCAAAGCGGCTTACATCTTTCTTCTCCTTCTGCTCTTCATATTATCCCCACAACAGCCCTGTGAGGGAGGCTGGGCTGAGAGGCTGTGATTGGCCCAAAGTTCCCCAGTGGGCTCCATGGCTGAGCGGGGACTTGAACCCAGATCTCCTGAGTCCCCGTCCCACGCTCTTAACCACGACACCACACTGGCTCAGGAAGATCTCAGCTGCCAAGCTTAGCCTAGTATCCTAAGGGCTGGAATTTCTAAAGAAAAGTTTGCTGAGCTTTGCATCTCGACATCAAGTTTAGGGTTTTGCCATGGCAGGGTTGCCTGTACCACGTGCCAGAACGCTACTTACTGTGTTGGTGCCAATGAGGTCTGCTGTCATAGAAAGTGACGTGACAAGGATGGTGGCTGAGCCCATGCCAAGCAGAACGGCGGCCCCGTAAACCTCCACACCAAGCTGTCCAGCCAGGGTGATCCAAGAGGCGAACGCCAAAATTATCAGCAATCCCAGGCCGTATGTAAGCTAGTTCAGGAGAGACAGACATGTTGTGACTTGGATAAAGGCTTGTTTTCATTGGGGTGGCTGGCCCCTATTTCGAAGAGCTTTCCAAAACGAGATTTGCTCTTATCAAACAAATAAACCGAGGTATTTAAAAGCGAGCTTTCCATTTCATGAAAAATAGTTCATGACAGCAATTTAAAATGTCCTGATTTATTTTAGGATGCTCAAGAAGGCTAAATTAGGGAAGACGGAAAAAAGCAACATGAAGGGGGTCAACTGAAATGGGAAAAGCCACAAATATTTGCGCCACCCTTTACTGAATCATAGACATAACCGCTTAGGTAAAAACATCAGAAAAACAGAATGTTCTGGCTGGTGCTGGAACATTGGTAGGGAAGGAACCCGATGAATTTCTCAGAGCAAGGAGTTCCAAAGTTTTGGTGTCACAGTAAGAAATGTCCTTCCATAAATTCCCAGGATCCCCACCTCAGATAAAGGCATTTCTGTAAGGTAAGCAACAGGCTGCTCTGAGATGTGGAGGGTTCTGTTTTGGTGTCCTTCTGACATGCTATCAAGTCATCCAGAACTTGTGGTCACCACTAAATGAGAGCCTTTCCAAATGTCTTGTAATTCACAGGCTGCTTAGCTCTTGCCAGGCTGCAGCTGCTGTGAGCTGGGTTTCCTCCTTGTGCTCAATCGAAGCCACAGGCCCTTCTTGCAAGAAGTTCTTTATTGACCAAAGTGCTCTCTGGATGCACAAATTCCCAGAAGGAATCTCTGAGCGTGCACAGAGTAGTTAGTTGAACCCAATCTAGTATTCACCTCCAGGAACTCCCCTCACGAGCCCGCCTGGGCCCGCTCCCTTTGGGAGGGGGTCCTGAAAGTGAGCACGCCTCCTCTCTGGGCGCCGGTCCTTTAACTGCCCCCCCCCGTGGGCAACGGGCCGGGGGTCAAAGAGCCAGGACCACCCGGTCTGCGTCTGAGAAGCTCCCCTGCTCCGGGTCCCTTCCACCAAGCTGTGCATCTCGGGTGTTCCCAGAGACTGCCTGCCCACCTGGGGAGTCCGGCCTGCAGGTAAGCATCGCTGCTTCTCTCCTCTCCATGTTTCAGGATGGCCCACATTCCATGATTCCCTCCTGCTACTCTCCCTTCCCGATTCTTCTGGAGACCCGCCCCGGAAAAAGTGCTCCAAAAGTAGCCCTCCTTCTCCCGTCCAGCAGGGGCTTCCTTGATGGGATCGAGCCCCTCTAACACTTGGCCTTCCTCGTCTCCCCTGCCCTCAACTTTCCCCAGCAGGATGGTCTTCTCCAGGGGGTCCAGCTTTCAGGATGTGACAATACAACTGCCTCTGTTTAGTCGTTTTTGACTTCTTTGGAATCAATTAACTGTGTGCAACTTGCCGGCAGCCATTCCCTGCCTGGCGCTTCACAAGAAGCACTGCTTCTCGGAAAAAAACAAAGGAAGAGCCCTGGCGTAGCTGCGAAAGGGGACTGCAAGCAGGAGCAAAGCAGGAAACAGGGAGAAGTGAGGTTCTTTCTGTGTGAGAGGAAATTGAAAACATCCAGGGTCCTTTGTGCCAAAAATTCAGCCTCAAGAATGCAGTTCGGCCCAGGTCCAAATGCTTGGCCCAGCCTCACCTCCCAGAACTGCAACCCCTGAGTTCTTGCACTACTTACATTCCTGCCAATGAATTTGTTTAGAGTCTTCATCAGAAAGGATGACAGAAAACCGCTGATAAACATAACCAAGGGGATCGTGGCGATGTATTTCTGCAGGAAGAAGAACAAGAAGGTGATCAAGATAGCTTCATTTCTGTTTGCTTTGGAGGGAAACAGGACGATTGCAAAGCAGTTGTTGTTGGACTTCTTGCTGCAAGCTGCCCAGAGAGCTTCAGCTTTGGAGCAGTGATAGAAATGAAAGAAATAGCAGTAACTACAACAAACATTTGCACTTATTTGAAATCTTGGATCAAAAACTGTTGGGTTTTGTGGCCCATGTACTGATTCGGGTGACCAACAACCCCGCCCTGCTGCCACCCCCCCGCCCCTCAAATTAGGCAGCAGGAATAGAATACCGTCAAGAAGTGCTCAAAAGGGTCAGATTTTGCCTAAAAAGGTAAAGGTTTCCCCTTGATGGTAAGCCCTGTCATGCCTGACTCTAGGGGGCGGTGTTCATCTCTGTTTCCTGGCCGAGGGAGCCGGCGTTTGTCCGCAGACGGTCTCCGGGATCATGTGGCCGCATGACTGAACACCGAGGTGCACAGAACGCTGTTACCTGCCCACCAAAGTGGCACCTTTTTATCTACCTGCATTTATGCTTTTGAACTGCAAGGTGGGCAGGAGCTGGGACGGAGCAACAGGGACTCGCCCCGTTGTGCAGATTCGAACCGGCGAACTTTTGATCAACCAGCCCAGCAGCACAGCAGTTAAACCCACTGCGCCACCTGCAGCACTCAGATTATGCCTAGGAGTAAGCTAAATGGGACAGACAATTTATCACGGCATTCCAGCTGCAGACCAGGCTTTTTCCCGGTGGCCATGAAATGCAGCCTGCAGGGGGGAGCTAAAGATGCAAAATGGCCCCCCGAGTCCCCACTGTGGCCCACCCCGGGTTAGAATGTTGAGCTCGGCCTGCAGAGGTGTGGGTTCGAATTTCGGCTCAGCCACAAAGTGTTACCCCAGGGAGCTGTGGCCTTCTGAGGCCCGTGGGTACATCTGGCATTCTGAAAAAGGGCTCTGTACACCACCACAAATCAAGGGCTATGGGTGGGGGAGTGAAGGCCAGTCACAAAATACTGGGGGCATGCGCTCAGTCTTCGCATACATGGCGTCTGTGAGACCCATTCTGGCTACCTTTGACTTTTTTCTTTCTCTCTGTCTTCTTTTTGCTTCCTTCTTTCTGCCTTCTTTTATCGGGATGGCAGCCAGTGACAAGCAGGGTCCCCCAGGGCTCTGTCCTGGGGCCAATCCTGTTTAATCTTTTCATCAATGACATGGAAGAAGGGGTGAACAGTCTGCTGATCAAATTCACAGACGATACTAAAACTGGGGCAGTGGCCACAACTGAGGAGCAGGTACTCCAGATCCAAAAGGCTCTGGACAGACTATGGAAGTGGGCAGGAGACAACAGGATGGCGTTCAATGTGGATCAGTGCAAGGTCTTGCACTTGGGGCATAGGAACGGGTGTCACAAGTACAGGTTGGGGGACAAGTGGCTGGAGAGTCAGCCATGTGATGTGGTGATCAAGAGGGTGAACGCCACCCTTGGTCACACAGCCAGAAGTGTGGCTTCTAGATCGAGAGGGGTATTACTGCCACTCTACATGACTCTGGTGCGCCCGCAACTGGAGTATTGTGCTCAGTTTTGGTCCCCCTTGTTACAGAAAGAATATAGCCAGGTTGGAGTCAGTGCAGCGAAGGGCCACAAGGTTGGTGGCCGGTTTGCAGGGGATGCCGTATGAGGCGAGACGGAGGGAACTGGGTCTCTTCCGCCTGGAGAAGAGGAGGCTCAGAGGGGACCTGTTGGCAACATACAGGTGTGTGAGGGGATGTCACACGGAGGTGGGCAGAGACCTGTTCTCCCCTGCAGAGGAAGGCAGGACTTGCTCCAACGGAGCAAAGCTCAGGGAACCCAGGTTCCATTTGGATGCCAGGAAGCACTTCCTGACAGTCAGGACCCCGAGGGTGTGGAATGGGCTTCCACGGGAGGGGGTTGAGGCCCCATCGGTGACAGCATTCAAGGATAGGCTGGACATGCACATGGTGGGCATGTTGTGAGCGGAGCCAGCTGGAGCCATGGGTCAGACTAGATGGCCCGGGAGGCCCCTTCTGACTTGCTCTGTTTCTATGTTTTATTCTGCATCTCTGATACCTTTTAATTTCCTTCTTTCCTCCTTCTTTCTGATTATCCTTTCAGTCTCCCTTTCTCTCCTTGCCTCCCTTTTTTCTCTGCTACACTCAATGGTTCAAGTAAATGTTAAAACAACACAAGGGACAAAACTGGCTGCTGCAGAAGCCCCTAGTGGGGAATTCACAAGTCTATTTATTTATTTTTATACTTGTATGCTGCTAACTATTCCAACAGAACGTCTAAGCGGCTTACAACAGTAATCAAAATCGCAATGTTTAACACAGTAAAACGATAACATTGTAAAATAAAGCAACAGTAACAGGGTGGAGAAATATTATCCATCTGCTACCTGCTGAAGCTCACCTGGCAGACAATGCTTTTGAATTGCACAGTAGGAGATCGCTAACGTTGCAGAGAGAGCAAAATTGCTACGCTACCCCACTTTCTCGCTTGGACTATTGCCCCAGAAGGATGCCATGGTTTGGGGTCTCAGTCCAGCCCGTGGGCACCATGACACCAGCAGGCACCGCTTTGGCGATCCCACCAAAATTCTCATCCCTTTACAGGTGATGTTAAACTGTTTACAAAAGCATCGTGAAGTAGGAAGAAAGCAGGAGGAAGAGGCGAGAAACCAGGCAAGATTAAAAGGTAATATTACCCAGAACACGTCTGCATACATTATCCGAATGGAAAAAAATAGCATATTTTTTTCTTATTTTGCATATTCATCAGTATATCAGAAGAATCCACTATTCCTCCAGGCTTTGGGAATCAGGCAAAGGGGTGTGGAGCTGTTAGGGCAACCGATATCCAGGATGAAGTTGTGCCTGGGCTCAGAAGTCCGCTTTCTCACACTTGAAAAATAAAACTAGCACTACCTATTGCAGGGGTCCTCAAACTTTTTGAATAGGGGGCCAGCTGAAAGGCTGTGGTGACTGTCGCGGGCCAGTGAGGCGGGGATGCCTGGGGGTGCGGGCCGGCATCGGGCACATGTGGCCGTGGCTTGCTCGCTCGGAGATCTCCCAGCGAGTCCAAGACCATCTCTGAGCGAGCAAGCCACCACATCCTTGCCCACATGGGTGGCGAACGGCGGCGCCGGCCGGATGGATGGCCACGGCTGGCCAGATCCGTCCCGTGGGTCGTAGTTTGAGGACGCATGCTCTGCTGATTTGCCTCAATGACAGAGTCAGCAACGCTTCAAACGCTTCCCAGAGGTCAGACTTACCTTTGGTAGCAACAGGGAGTTGGTCAGATACATTGCAATGTAGGTTTGCGAGAGATTGACAATGAGCCGGGTGGACATGTATAGCATTGCTACCTGGAAGGAGAGAGAGAGGAGCATGGGCGACAGGTATAACTTTGCTACCTCGAAGGAGAGAGAGAGGAACATGGGCGACAGGTATAACTTTGCTACTTGGAAGGAGAGAGAGAGGCCACAAGAAGAACCCTTCCGGGTCAGACCATGGAAAACTGCCGACGTGACAGCACCTCCCACTCTTGCTTGCTAGCCATGCAGAAGCTTTTTCCTCCAAGAATGCATCCAATCCCTTTTAGAGCTGTCCATGCCTGCTCCTAACAGTAGTAAATTCCAGAGTCTTAACTCTGCACAGTGTGACCAAGTCCTTTATTCTGTTCGCCCACCATTCTCTCACCAATCTCTGCTCCTCTGTTTCATCAAAACACAAACATTTCTCCTCCCTAAATTCACAACAGCCCTTGATTGCTGGCAGTAACAACAGGTTCCCCTCACCTGCACCTCTTGTGACTGCTGTGAGAGAAAGCTAAGGGGGACAAGATTTGGGTTACATGGGGGAACTCAGGAAGTGCATCTTGTAGAATGCATTGAGGAACTTTCCTGCCTTTTCGCCCTGAAAATGTACGTATGTGTTTATTTAGTACAAATATTTGTATCCTGTCCTTCTGCATAAGTGCTCAGGATAGCACCACAGTTCAAAGGCCTCAGTTCTTCGGCGCTCAGCCTTCTTTATGGTCCAGCTTTCACAGCCATACATTGTTGTTGCTCGTTGCGAAGTCGCATCTGACCCATCGCGACCCCATGGACAACACTCCTCCAGGCCCTCCTGTCCTCCACCTTCCCCCGGGAGTCCACCTAAGCCCACACCCACTGCCCCAGTGACCCCATCCAGCCCCCTCATCCTCTGCCGTCCCCTCCTTCTTTTGCCATCTATTGTTCCCAGCATCAGGGTCTTCTCCAGGGAGTCCTTCCTTCTCATAGGTGGCCGAAGTATTTGAGCTTCATCTTCAGGATCTGGCCTTCTAAAGAGCAGTCGGGGCTGATCTCCTCTAGGACTGACCGGTTTGATCGCCTTGCGGTCCAAGGGACTCGCAGGAGTCTCCTCCAGCATCACAA